CTTGCAGATCAGGGTAAAAATTTTGCTACTACATCTCACCGGAATACTGAGGAGGAAGGACCCAAGTACAAGTCCAAAGTTTCATTGAAAGGCAATAGAGAAAGTGATGGATTTTAGAGAAGAAAAAAATTATAAACTTAAAGAGACTGGCTACGTAGTGGAAAGGCCTAGCACTGCAAAAGATAAGCACAAGGAAGACGACAAAAGTTCTGAGAGAATAACAGTAAAGAAAGAAACTCAGTCACCTGAGCAGGTAAAGTCTGAAAAGCTCAAAGACCTCTTTGATTACAGTCCCCCTCTACACAAGAATCTGGATGCAGGAGAAAAGTCTACCTTCAGAGAGGAGAGCCCACTTAGGATCAAAATGATAGCCAGTGATTCTCATCGTCCTGAAGTCAAACTCAAAATGGCACCTGTTCCTCTTGATGATTCTAACAGACCTGCTTCCTTGACTAAAGACAGGCTACTTGCTAGTACACTTGTCCATTCTGTCAAGAAGGAACAAGAATTCCGATCCATCTTTGACCACATTAAGTTGCCACAGGCCAGCAAAAACACTTCAGAGTCTTTTATTCCACACATTGTGTCCTTGGTTCATCATGTTAAAGAGCAATACTTCAAATCAGCTGCAGTGACCCTAAACGAGAGGTTCACTTCGTATCAGAAAGCCACCGAAGAACATAGTACCAGGCAAAAGAGCCCTGAGATACACAGGAGAATTGACATCTCCCCAAGTGCTCTGAGGAAGCATACTCATTTAACAGGGGAAGAGAGAGTTTTTAAAGAAGAAAATCAAAAGGGAGATAAAAAACTAAGGTGTGATTCTGCTGATCTTCGGCATGACACTGATCGTCGGAGAAAAGGAAGAAGTAAAGAACGGGGGGATTCCAAGGGCTCCAGGGAATCCAGTGGATCAAGAAAGCAGGAAAAAACTCCAAAAGATTACAAGGAATACAAATCTGACAAAGATGACAGTAAACATAAAAGTAGAGAGCAAGATCATTCCCGATCTTCATCCTCTTCAGCATCACCTTCTTCTCCCAGTTCTCGAGAAGAAAAGGAGAGTAAGAAGGAAAGAGAAGAAGAATTTACAACTCACCATGAACTGAAAGAATACTAAGGCTTTGGAGGAGTTAGCCGACCACGAGGAACCTTTCATGATGACAGAGATGATGGTGTGGATTATTGGGCCAAAAGAGGAAGAGGTCGTGGTACTTTTCAACGTGGCAGAGGGCGCTTTAACTTCAAAAAATCAGGTAGCAGTCCAAAATGGACTCATGACAAATACCAAGGGGATGGGATTGTTGAAGATGAAGAAGAGACCATGGAAAATAATGAAGAAAAGAAGGACAGACGCAAAGAAGAAAAGGCATAGTAAATCTGAAGTGAGATTGCAACAGAGAGCAGAACTTGCACCCACCATTTTTTACCTGATTTTTGTTTTCAAAATAAGAATGTAAGCATTTTACTTAAATTTTACTGTTTGCAAGTAGTCAATAGAAATTTTGTTTTAAGTCTTCAAATACCTTGAAAAATAGTAGACTGTATGTTGAAAATTGTACTGAAATAAAGTAGAAAATTGTTACGTACCATATTTGTAACTATCAACTTTTAAAAAATACTTTTACTGTTTTTGTTACATGTATTGTAATTCGTTTTGTCTATAAGATATGTTCAAGTACAGCCCTGTGAAAGTTCTGATTCTCTTCCTTCCCTGTTTGTTAATGTTTATTCTGAAGTAAACGTTAGCTCTACATACAAATCCCTGAACAGAAGTTGTTTATAGAGACCACACTAATTATTTTAACCGTATACATCTGTTTAACATTCTCCCTAATTCAAACACACTACATTGTAGGGTGACTAATTTTTGAGGTGTACCACAGAAAAGGTTTTTACTTTGGTAAACTAAGCTAGTTTAACATGTCAGCAGATGTTTAAGAGGAAAAAAAGCTTTGCCAATACCTAAAAAGTACAAGCTATTAAAAGATCCAAAAGTATGAGGTGTTTTTTTTTGTTTGTTTTTTGTTTTTTGTTTTTTTAACTGAAAGCAAGCAGTGGCCTATAAAAACTATTCTCAGGATCCTTTACTTTTTGGGCTGAAAAAAAGTTGTCTTTCTATTCTTATTTGAAAGTTTGAGTCATGGTCTTAGATATTAGCTAATCTTTTTGAGAGAGAAACTGGTCTGTAATAATACAAATAAAAAATCCATTCCTACCAAATGTATTACTTTAAAAAAATAAAACAGAACAAAACCTGTAATCTTGGTCTTGGTATGGAAGAGGATTATGCTGCAGAATAACTTGATATATTAGAAAGATGTACCTGATTTCATATCTTACATATTTATTTGAGCTTCTGGACAGCTGAAACATTAGTTTGTAGTCTAACCATAAGGAAAAATAGGCAAACAAAACATTGTTCATTAGTAGTATTTTAAGTAATTTGTTTTTCAATAAAAAGTTTTGACAGGAAGTTTGTTGCCGCATTGTCTAACTTGGTTTTACTTTTTTCCCTATTTCAGTTGCAGTTTATAAAAATGGCTTTCTTTTTCTTCCCAAGGGTTCTATTCGTCAGGTAGATAATCTTTCAGATGTGAATTACCTTTATGTTTATGCTGATAGCGCTTAAGATGAAAATCCAAAATAGTAAATTTCAGTGTTAAGTTTGTCTGCTCTATGAACATATATAAAAGTAGTCAAATTTCATTTGTTAATTCAGCAACCAAATTAGTTGTATATGTTTGCATTAAAAGGAGGTAATGCTTATTCTTTTAGTGTAAACTTTCAGAAATCTTAAGTACATGGATCTTTCGTCCTCACTTGATTATTTGCAGTGCTCCTAGCACCTTGATTGCAGCCAGGGGCATTTGCTAAGAACTGTAAGAGGGAAAAATACGAAAAAAAAGTATATGTGATGTTTATGGCCCTGGGATCTTTAGTATTGCATGATTTCTCCTATCTTGTCTTTTCTGAAATTGTTACAGAGCAGAGGAAATACTGTTAAAGCAAGTTTGTTATTGCATTAATCAGGACACAGCTAATTTCTTCTAGTCAGAATAATACTTAATTACATGCTAAAGCAACATGGATTTAATCTTCAATACAGGAGAATTTTCACAACCATTTTATTTTATACAAATAAATTTAGCTTTCATTTTAACAGTTACTATTTGGTTAGATACTGAATCTCTGTGCATGACTGTAAATGTGCAGTTTTGTTTTTCCACTTAAGACAATAGGAGAATGGGAATTTGCTGATAAATTATTTAATAGGGAGTGGGAATAAAGCTCCCTAGGTCCTATCAGCAAGTTATATTTTAAATGCAAATGCATTGCTTTAATCCAAATAGATACCTGATTTGGTTGCTTTTATTCTATTAAAATTCAGGAAAGGATTATACCAGAATTTAGTAGGAAGGGCGATAGAACTCTGCAATTAGGATTCCATTGTGGATGTTATCTGTTTCAGAGCCAAGGATATGAAAGCCTATGTTGTGTTTTTTTAAGCCACAATTTAACTCCACACGTGACAACATACGATAAAGCTGAATGGTTCCTCTTGGTAAGGAATTTTGTTAACAAATGCCAGAAAATAATAACTCTTTGATACCTACGTTAATAGACTCCTTTTGCCTAGAGAAGGAAAATAAAAGTGAACCAAAGGATATTTCTAGAAAGGATTAAGAAAGCTGTTTAAGAAGGCCATGACTCAGTCCTTAGGTGTGTATACTTTTCAACATCCTAGGAATTCTAATACAAAATAGCAAAATATGTTTTTCCAATTACATCCAACTTTAAGGAATTACTATTTGTTCCCTTTTGTCACAGTTAAAATCAAGTGTTGGGAATTAAATTATGATTTGAGTAAAAATATTACCCAATACGAATGAATGTAGATGGCTAAACGATTCTTACTCAGTGTGATGTATATTGCAACAGGGACCCTTGTAAATTGTCATATGCCAATAAAATGTCATAAGTGGTAAAAAAAAAAAAAAAAAAAAGAATACCGGGCTGCCCGTGTGCCCATGACAGGCGTGCCAACTTCCCAAGGTAACCACGGCTAAACCAGGACCTTGGGGTGTGAATGTGCCCCTGTTCAGCCAGCAGTAGGACCGGTGCAGCTACAAGTGCACACGGGGACAGGGGACACGTTCTCTTGACCCAACGCCGATCCCCCTCTCGTCTGAGAAGCCCAATCTCTTCAGCTGAGAAGGGATGCCCTCCGGGGTGTGAGGGGGAAAGGGCATGTGCTGAGCCAGGCAGAGCAGCTGCCACTGCCAACATTAGCAGCGGACGCTCTGTAGCCCCATCTCCCTAGGAGATGGGGGGCGGGAGAGCAGCAGAGGAGCATGGGACCAGTCTCCCTCCCTCCTCTAAGCAGAACATCAGCCCCAGGACTCCCACAGTGTTGAGAGGAAATGCCTCCAGTCACAGATAAACAATCTCTACTGACAGGGAGGAATCACAGGCTGGGAAGGATTTCGTTTTAAGTAGAATAAGAGTATATTCAGGCAACCTTGGGAAAAAAAAAAAAAACACCAAGCTTTCATCCAAGATAACTAACAGTTTAGGTGAGTCATGAGGCACATTTATATTGCTGATCTGGGAAAGAAGGACCTGAAGTGGAGAGACTTGGTAGGCTCTCCGTACACTTCAGGGAGCAGGTCTTTCCCAGGGAGCAGCCTGATGCAGGAGAAAGAGAACAGGGTTGTAGGGTGGAGTCAGAATGAGGTCTAGTCCCTGCCTGAGCCTCAGTTTCCTCCTCTAAAGGATGAAGATCCACCTGGTCAGTGGAGAGAGGAGGGGGGCGGGTGAGGATCACAAGAGAGAAGGGCTGGGAAAGTGACCTGTTCTTATAAAGCCAAATCTACACAGCTAAGCACAGCAATACCCAGGCTTTTCTCTTACTAAAGCTTCTCCCGGTGCTGAAAGGAGCCTGGGGACAGTCCGGATGGCCCAAGTTCCATCTGCCTCCTCTGGCCTGTCTCCTACAGCCTCCTCCCTGCATTAAAGCTCAGAACTGCAAAGCGGCCTCTCTCCTTGGACCTCTGCTGGGCCCTAGAGGGACCAGGCAGAACCTTCTGGGACCATGGTTGGACTAAAGCCTTCAGAAGTACCTCCCACCACAGCTGTGAAATTCCTGGGGGCAGGCACAGCGGCCTGTTTTGCTGATCTCCTCACCTTTCCACTGGACACAGCCAAGGTCCGCCTGCAGGTAGGTGCTTTTTGGCAAGGGTCATTGTTCAGATCAAAGGAGGGACTGAGTTCTCCACTCCAGCACCTCTTGTGTGTGCCAGCCTGCTCTCCTCACACAGCAGGCCACTCACACCACTGCTTACAACCCTGCCTCATCATCATCCAAGACAAAAAAAAAAAAAAAATCTTAGCTGCTTGGGCCCTTCATGGCCTCACCCTGCTTTGTAAACCATGGAGTGTGAAGTAAAAGTAAGTAGCTGTGTGACCTTGGGCAAACCACTGACCCTTGTTGTGGGAAAAACAATCTGCCCTCCATTTGCTCTGAGGGCTGAGCACCACACCATGTATAACAGCTTATGAGCAATATGCTGATGCACAAACCTCAGTTGTTTTTACTGGGATGTGATGGCTATAATCCTGCTCCTGTTCGAGAACCAGCCCTGGACAGCTCCTTCTGCACACAGCCCCCTCTCCCCTCCTCCCAGCTCCTCACGCCTCTGCTGGGATGTTCCTCAGATCCAGGGGGAGAACCAGGCAACCCAGGCAGCCCAGAGACCCCAGTACCGCGGCGTGCTGGGCACCATCCTGACCATGGTGCGCACCGAGGGCCCCCGCAGCCCCTACAACGGGCTGGTCGCCGGCCTGCAGCGCCAGATGAGCTTTGCCTCCATCCGCATTGGCCTCTACGACTCTGTCAAGCAGTTCTACACCCCCAAAGGAGCGGACCGTGAGTGCCCGGTATCCTGTAGACACCAAGGGGATAGGCAGAGGCAGACTCTAGGCTAGTGGGTCAGACATGAGGGCAGTACAGATTCGGAGAAAGAGCTGGGGCGTAGGAGGCGGGTAATAGACACTCATGAGGAGACTGAGCCGCTGTCAGGACCTTGAGCCTAGGAGAAGAGGCAGGCAACAGGCAAGGGCAGCTCCATAGAGAACAGCATCCAGCCCAGAGAAGTACTGGGTGGCAGAACACTGACCCACTCTTCTCTCCTTCTCTCCAGACTCGAGCATCACTACCCGGATTTTGGCAGGCTGCACCACAGGGGTCATGGCGGTATCGTGCGCCCAGCCCACGGATGTGGTGAAGGTCCGGTTTCAGGCCAGCATACACCTTGGGGCCGGGAGCAACAGGAAATACAGTGGGACAATGGATGCCTACAGGACCATTGCCAGGGAGGAAGGGGTCAGGGGCCTATGGAAAGGTAGGTCTGGACTCCAGGCTCAGAGGGCCGTGGGCAAAGCATGCCTTACCCTTGAGCTAGGGCAGAGAACCGAGCAAGGAGGGAACTCCCAGCATGGTATATTCCAGTGATTCTGTAAGAACATCCCAACCAAAACTATCACACTGACCTGCCCCAAATTCAGTTCAATGTGTCAACGCTTCAGCATGCGCAGGCTGCTGTGAGGGAGACAGAAATGAATAGAAGATACCTTCCATACCCTCATGGCTCTCACAGACAAAGAGAGATGAGACATGTCAAGGAGCAGCCATTCCACAGGGTAGGATGTGCGAGGTTCACACAGAGGTATACGGCCAGAGGCAGGAGAGGCCATGCAGGCTCCAGGGGGAAGGTGACGCGCAAGCTGGGCCTCAAGGCTCAGTGGGCTCTAGGTGTGTGGAGATGGAAGGGTAGGGCTTCCCCAGCAAAGTTCTATCAGGGGTGACTATAGGACATGGGGAGGAAACGGAGGCCAGTGGAGGGGGCAGCTGTGAGTTGTCGGATGTAGGGAGATATGATGAGAACTAGGCTTCCTCAGGAGTAAGGTTTCTGGTTCCCTATGTGTCCAAGTGGAGGCCACCTTGACAAATGTTGGGATCTCTCCTCCATGTGGACCAGGGGCCATACAAATCCTTGCAGAAGAAACAGTGACCCAGTGAAGGTTAAGGACAGGACACCTGGGTCACAACCTGATTTGCTCTGTGCTCTCCTGAAGCCCTGACCTCATCTGTGATATCAGTGGCTGGGTCTTGAAGCTGTCCTGGGGCCTCCCAGGGCTACCGTCTGTCACTCCTCCAAGAGCCTTGCCTCCCTCCTCCAAAAAAAGGCTTCCTTGCCTGGCTTTAGCCAGATCTCACAGAGGCATATTTTAATTTTGATAGATATTGCAGATTATTCTCCAAAATGTGGCTCAGACAAACATAAGAGGGCCTCTCTGTTTTCTGTCTCTGAGAAGGACATGGATAATCTAAGAGTTAACCCCAGAGAGGAAAGCCTGGAATCCGCTCAACTGAGGCAGGCTCCTCTGAGACCATTGGAATGGAGCATTCTGCCCCCAAACTGGGGCCTGTGGCCTTGCAACCAGGGCATCCACATCTATTTTTCACTAATCAGCCCCCACCCCATCCTTCACAGGAACTTTGCCCAACATCACAAGGAATGCCATCGTCAACTGTGCCGAGATGGTGACCTATGACATCATCAAGGAGAAGCTGCTAGACTATCACCTGCTCACTGGTGAGGCCCTGGACTCCAGGGAGCTGCCCTCCCACAGCAGGGAGGGAACCTGGAATTCCACAGAGTGGGCACCACTCAGAGGCAACTGGGTGTTAGAAGGAGCAGAGAGAGGAGCAGTGCCCAGTAAAGATGCCCATGCCCAGTAGGAGTGCCTCTCTACTTGCTAGATGGGGTGCTGCCCAATTCATAAATCACTTAAGAATGCCAATTAGATCTTTTAAAAAATGCCCAGTCCATCATTGTGCTGAGTGGGAAAGAACCCTGGATAAGGAGGCCAGAGCCCTGGGTCCCAGCCCAGCACTTCCCACCGTGCATCTTGAAGCAAGAGTCGCCTTCTCTGACTTCATTCTCCTCTAATGAGATCGCTGGGCTGCCCAGCCTGCCAACTGTGGGATAACCCTGTTCTATTTGGCAAGTCCTGTGAGAGCTCTAGAAAGCACTATCCTACACTCAAGGAGTTCCCAGTTTAGTGAAGGACAGATGATGACACATATGGAACAGAAAGCCAGCACACTGCCATCTCACAGCTCCATGCTTGTTCCTCCCTTCCCTGCTACAGACAACTTCCCCTGCCACTTCATCTCTGCCTTTGGAGCTGGCTTCTGTGCCACAGTGGTGGCCTCCCCAGTGGATGTGGTGAAGACCCGGTACATGAACTCGCCCCCAGGGCAATACCGCAGCCCCCTGGACTGTATGCTGAAGATGGTGGCCCACGAGGGCCCCACAGCCTTCTATAAGGGGTGAGCCTCCCCCTCCTGCCTCCAGCACCCCCTCCCAGAGAACCTAGGCTTGTTTCCTTCCCTCCTTCCTTCCATGTATAATGTGCCTGCCGTGGGTCTACCTGGGGACATGGTGAACAAGCACAGATGTAAATGCCACAAAGGACAAATACAAAGAACTATGGAAGTTAAAAAAAAAAAGTGGACCAAATCTGATTTGGAGAGTCAGGGGAGGCTTACCTGAGAAAAAGAAGTCTAGGCATAGGTCAAAGTACTGTCTATCCCCAAACTTATTGGGCAAGGGAGAAGGAGGGAAAGGTGGTTGGTAGTCCTGAGACCTTTCTCCAACCCACTGTCATGACTGTGGATCACCACTGATGGCAGCCACAGTGCCCAACACGTCACATTTTCTTGCTCCGTGTCTGCTTTTACCATTCCCTCTTAATGGAATGCCTTTCCCACCTCATGCACGTGCTTCAGAACTAGTTCAAATGCCACCTCCTCCCCAACATTCTCAGGTACAGATGTTTCCTCCTCCCTGTAAACTGCAGCAATACTTCCTTGATATCATTTTTATGGTACTTACCATCTCCTATTTTGTGTTACAGGATTCGTAAGTTTAAATTATCCTGCATGCTACATCACAAGCTCCTTAAAGCCAGAACTGGTGGCTTATATGTCTTTCATCTCCCTAGCCAAAAGCCGGCACTCAATAATGTAGATTATTAACGATCACCATGACCGCTAAGTCACCAAGTACAAGGCCTTACACAAAGCACTTTACACAGATTATCTCAACAACCCCCTGAACGGGGCAGTATTCTCCACATTTACTGAGGAAGAAACTGAGACTCAGAAAGGTCAAGTGACTTACCCAAGATCACAGATTTAAAATGTCAGAGCCATGGCTCTGAGCCAGATCATCAGATGTCACCCCACATGTCGTCACCCATCCTACTGCCAAGCTCTTGGCTTGGCCCTCACACCTCCCACTACTGATGCCTTTCAGCAGGTAGTTTTCTGGGGCCCAGTGTTAGACTGGACCCAACAGGCAATCAGGTTCTCAACCCTGTGACATCATAAAACTATTTCAATTGCCAGACTTCTTTTCCTGTAAGTGCTTCTATCATTACAATCATCAGCAGTAGCCACCTGTCTCAGTTTCTTCTTTTTTTTTTCAAAGATTTTGTTTATTTATTCATAAGAGAGAGAGAGGCAGAGGGAGAAGCAGGCTTCCCGCTGAGCAGGGAGCCCGATGCGGGACTCGATCCCAGGACCCTGGGATCATGACCTGAGCTGAAGGCAGACGCTTAACCATCTGAGCCACCCAGGTGTCCTCAGTTTATTCTTTCACTTGGAAAACATTTACTGAGCATCTCATGTGTGCCAGGCCCTGTGCTTTCCTCAAAAAGCAGCAGACACAGGTGACATTTATGGAGCATTTACGGATACTGGGCCCTGTACTGTATGCTGTACATTAACTCATTTATTCCTTCACAACAGCTCTATGAGGTAACTGCTGTTATTGTCCTCATTTTACAGATGAGGACACTGAGGCTTAGAAAGATTAAGTAACCTGTCCTAAGTCATGAAGCTAGAAACTGACAGAGCTGGGGTCTGAACCCAGGTCTGACTCTAGAGTTCACATTCATTGCCCCAGTGCTATTCTCCGTGGGGAGGCTAGGCTGAGGGTTCTGGAGAGACCTTGGTATGAGGCTATGACATAGGCTATGTCTCGGCTGAAGCCGAGTCCTACAGAGCCAAGAGCAACCAGCCCCGCAAGGAGGAGAGTAGGGGACATTCCCAGGCAGAAGGAGCAGCACAGGCAAAGGCATGGAAGCAAGTCTGGCAGAAAAGGAGAGGATCAGGAGGGGATTAGCAGAGAGAGAGAAAGGCTGAAGAGGGAGCCGCACCAGGTCCCAGGCTCCTCCCTGAGTCTGCGAAGCTGAGGTGGGGACTGTCTCCCAGCTGCGCTATCACAGGACAGGCAGGCTCTCTGGAGATTAGCTAAAGTTGGTGTCACCCAGTCTTGACCCCTTGGTATACCAGCTTCTAGATGCCCTGGCAGGGCCTCCTCAGGGATGGCCCCTCAGCATGTAAATGATTCCAAGAATACCCAGCTGCAGGGTGGAGTCAGGTAGTTTTAGCTGAGCTCCTTAACTACCGTGGGCTTCAGTTCCTTTTTTTTTTTTTTAAGATTTACTTATTTATTTGAGAGAGAGCACGCATGCAAGCGGGGGCGGGGGGCGGGTAGGGGCAGAGAAAGAGAGAGAGAGAGAGTAAATCTCAAGCAGACTCCCCACTGAGCACAGAGCCTGACTCAGGGCTCCACCCGATGACCCTGAGATCAAGACCTGAGCCAAAACCAAGGGTCAAATGCTTAACTGACTGAGCCACCCAGGTGCCCCTGGAGTTTCTAAAAAAGAAACCTGGCAACCATCATAGCTGCCTTATAGAATTGTGGGAATTAACTGCCTAACACAGAACCTGTCTCAAAATGTGTTTTCTTTCCTTTCCTGACTCCAGCTTCTGCCTAAATTCCTTAAGCAGAGAAGGAAAAGGCTCAACAGATCTCAGAGACTGCTTTTAACTAATAGAAGCCTAGGTCCTTTGGCACTAACACTGTGAATGGGGGGAGCACTGGAGATCTATTTGGGATTCTTAGTCCACTCCACCTGATGTTTGGTTTTTTTCTCTCATCAGATTTACACCATCCTTTTTGCGTTTGGGAACCTGGAATGTGGTGATGTTCGTGACCTATGAGCAGCTGAAACGGGCCTTCATGAAAGTCCAGATGCTACGGGAATCTCCATTCTGAATAAAGCAAGCCCACCTGGTACTTAACTAGAACAAGAACCAGTGGGTCCAGGCACACACAAACCCACACATGTTTACAGAACTGTTTACTTGCTACTGAGTCAAGAAATAGAAGCAGAAGAAGGATTCTGGTCTTCGGTGCTTTGTCTTAAGAACACATCTGTTTTGCACTGACAAGATGGAAATTAAATTATATTAATTTGGGGGACCCATATGTTGGATGCCTAACATTTAGGCAAGAGAAAATAAACCAAAACATCCATTTGGATAAAACAAAAGCTTGCAAACCTCTGTGCTCTAAAAAAAAATCTGATTAAATGACGAATTGAAAACAGGGAAGACTGCAAGCATGGGACAGCAGTGGCACATGACACTTGGAAAGCAGCTCAGGAGTTTGGAGGGATGCTGCCAAAGCAACATAGCTGTGACTACAGCCTTTGGTTAACCGTGGATCATCAGCCATATATGTAATGTGCCTGCCATTTAGAAGCCATTGGGATTCTAGAAAATATGAGACCAAAAAAAGACAGAGAGAAAGAAAACCTGGAACCTGTGCCAAAGGAACACTGCTGGGCCAGCATGAGGCTGAGATTCGTAACTGTTCCCTGATTACACTGGAGAATCAAGAGGGCGGACTCCATCTTCTCTCCTGTAAGATGGGAGTAATAATCGTTTCCCTCCTCTCTCACCAGTGATTGTATGAGGATAAGTGACAAGGTGGACACGAAAGCACTTTCTAAAAGCAAAAGCTCTGATATTTACAAGTGTAAATATAAGGACAAGGCCTTGGGAAAGATTTTCTCAGGACAGTGAGGAAGTGCCAGGGAAGTTTTTGAAAGGTTGAAAGGTTGTCTAGAGCTTAGACCAAAGGAGCCAGGGGCTGGGGCACCAGGGGTGACAGAG